AAAGGAAGATCTACTAAATCTACTAATTAAATTATAAATATATCAATTCATGTGAATATGACTGAAAAAAATTTCATTTTTTTCTGAAAAGGTGGTGTCTATTTACTTGTGACCACGCTGTTTACATGCAGTTTATAAGAGTTGAATTTTTCCTAGGGTGCTTGAATACATTTGAGATATATCGCGTATTGGGAATAAAAGAAAAGCAAGATTTGAACATGATGAGTAGTGGGAAAACCAATAGTTTGTAAGGAAAAACAACTTCTAGAAACTGTCTCGATATGTTTGTTTAAAATATATGTATATATTGCAGAAATATGTATAAAGATGAGAGACAATGAAAGAAAAAAATATATATATACATGAAAATATTATTTGTCAGTAACTGTCTTAATCTATGTAATTAATTAAGGATTTACATAAAAGCAATTTAACACACTGCAACTTTAAACGCCCCCCAGTGGCACAGCGGTATGTCTGCGGACTTACAACGCTAGGAACCGAGTTTCGATACCCGTGGTGGGCAGAGCACAGATAGCCCATTGTGTGTAGCTTTGTGTTTAATTGCAAACAAACAAGCAACTTTAAACGATTTATTAGTAAGATTCAAGATCATTTGTAAAATATACAAAAATAAAAACTGTAAATCGTTCCTTATTATATAAATTGTATTCACGAAAATTTATTGATGTCATTTCTAATTAAAATTAACATGCTTACGAAAGATTTACATACATAAATTTAGGTCTAAGTGAAATAAGTGTTTTATTATGTCTTCAGGTTTACGATATGCAAAGAAGCATTGAATATAATGTTTAATTATACCCAATTTTACTGTTTAATTACACAAACGTCATTAAGAATATATCATTCCCCAATGATGCTGGAAGCAAACCCCAAGAAACTAGGAAGTTTAAATAAATAGTTCTTAACGTTGACCGCCAGGTTAGCTCTTTAATATAAAAGTGTCTAAAAAATTGGAATTAGTTGAATGAATTTAATATCTACATATTCGTTAGTTCACAAATCTAAACACAAAAAAGGTATAAATTTTAACATTTGAAATTATTATATTGCACTAAGGAGGAGGAGCTAATGTGTCATTTATAATTTTGAATAAATAGTGTCATTGGTTAACCTGTATTCATTAGGCCTATATGAAATAAAGCAATAAAACAAGCCGAGTACTTCTTAGGTGAAATACAATGTCAAAGAGATCATAGGAACAAATTAGTAAAACACACAGACATACTCTTTTATTTATTTTTTTATTTTTTTCAAGGGTGTGAATAAATTTGAAGACTACATGATCTAAGAACTTCAAAGCACCGAGTTGTCGGATTTTAACTTTTTATAATAACATCCATATGAAGTTTACTTGAAATAAATATTAAAATTTCGTAATAAGAAGTTTTGTTTAAATGAGTTTTTAAGATCTAAACGACGAATAACAAATATGGTTAAAAAAAACATTACTTTTTCAATTTTTTTTTATGATTCTACACAACTAATTCAAAGATATATTATAAGTACAAGCGAATATTGAGCGTTACAAATTTGTGAAACACATTACACACAGCTAAGAATCTTCTAGAGATTCTTGTCAATAACGTTACATACTACGCTGTACATTTTGAAACTTCCTATAAATATAATTGTTTTGTGGAAACATTTTTTTTTTATGTTCATTAATGTAAACTTCCGATGCCCGATAAATCTGGAAATACATTAATAATCAAATCAGTGTTTTGGATATGAATTTTAAATTGGTTTCTAAAGTTGTCAGCTAAACACCAACCATGTTCTCAGCTTTCAATCCACTCACTCGTTTCCAAGATAGTACAGCCAATAAGCGAGATTGAAAATAAGAAACAGTGCAGGGAAAATGACACGACTCAGCTGATCGATTCGTTTAGCAAAGGATCCGTAAGAATAAGCCACGGATGCAGGGATCGCCTTTTCCACGTTGGTCTCCTCAAGCTTAGCCGTTGCCAAGGCAACCTAAATAAGAACAGGAACACACGAGAGTTACTTCTTCATCTTGAATCAGTAGAAATTGCCTGTGTCTAAATCTTTTTATTCAATTGACATTTAAATAAAACCAATGGTGAGTAAAAAAATATCACATAAACTATCATTATTACAATAAGAACCAGCCAACTGGCTAATTTTGCCATTTGCAAAAGAAAAGACAAACAAATACAACTTTGTTACAATAGTATTTGCGATTTTATTGATCTAAGTCAACATTTTACTACTGCGTTAGCGTAATTGTTACGAAGAAACAAGGGTAATTATAATATTCCCAGATTGACTTGAAAAAGCCCACGCAGTAGCACAGCGGTATGTCTGCGGACTTACAACACTAGAAACCGAGTTTCGATACCCGTGGTGGGCATAGTACAGACAGCTAGTCCATTGTGTAGCTTTGTGCATTACTACAAACAAACAAACATACTTGAGAAAAAATTAAAAGCTGTTAACGATATCTATCTATCTATTCTGTAAAGTTTTCATAATGCAATAAACTTTGTTTATATCTTATTTTTTAATTCGGAAACTTTAGCAGCTTTTTACATCAGTTCTATTAAATAATGCCCAATAAGCCGTTCCGCTAACATGTGCAATAAACATGTAAAATAAACGGACTGCGTGTTTACGATCTAAGTTAAAGTTTTACATCGTTGACTTTTATAGGATGTATTCATAAGGAGCCAGCGTCACTCAATGGTCAACGTGCAGGGCTGCGAATCAGAGACTCCATGATTCGCTCATTTACCGTTAACAAACAGTCGCGCTTTGGGGCTTTGGATACTTTATAAGACTGATTGTCAAATCCCATTATTAGATTAGGTACGCATAGCCCAGGAGTTGGCGGTGGGTAATGTTGATTAGTTGCTGTCTTTCTAGTCTATCACTTTGAAATTAGGGAACGGCTATCGCAGATAGCCCTCGCGTATCCTTGCGTGAAATTCGGCCAAACGAACAATAGATTAGTTTTAGAAAGTGCCCAGGACACCTATGGTAAAGGTCGATTAATTGGTAGACAAGATTTATGGTCTTTAAACATGATTGAGTCAAGTCACCCAAGTAATTAATAGTATAAGTGACATGTGTTCTTGAAAAGACGTCAGAGTTAGCTGTTTACGTAAAAGTTGAGGATTGTGCAAAGTTATAATGAAATGAAAGCTTTTATTATATTATGTTCTGTGCTGAATTTCGATCCTGCGACTCGCAGGTTACGAGTCAAGCTCCCTAACCACCAGGCCATATGAAAAAGAAAATAGGAGCTTGACGCACGTTTAAAATGTAGCTCCAATTTCTTCTTCCTCTTTCTAAGCTTAATTATGACTGTTTACCTGAAGATCGCGAGTAGAAAGTTTAGTAAGTATTTCAGTGGCAGGAAGCTACTTTTAACCGTTTAAAAACTTTATTCTTCATCAATACGTAAGTACGAGGTTGATTTATAAATTATCATTCCTCAACAACTTTCCACGAACCAGATGGAGTTCAGTTTCAGTTAATGAAAACCACAAAGTTCTATTTTCATTGAAACAAGCTTCTTTAATTTCCATAGTAATGCAAAAGTATGTATAATGTATAACATTATTTGTATGATATATAACCCTCTTCACACTGTTTATTGTATAGTAAATAACCTTCACTGTTTATTGTATAACTTATAACCTTCACATTGTTTCTTGTATGATATAGAACCCCTTCACACTGTTTATTATATAATATATAACCTCCTTCACACTGTTTATTGCATGATATACAACCCCTTCACACTGTTTATTGTACAATATATAATCCCCTTCACACTTTTTATTGTATAATATATAATACATTACACTGCTTATTAGACATTGTTTGTTTGTTTGTTTGTAATTAAGCACAAAGCTACACAATGGGCTATCTGTGCTCTGCCCACCACGGGTATCGAAACCCGGATTCTAGCGCTGTAAGTCCGCAGATATACCACTGTGCCACTGGGTGGCCTTATTAGACATAATAGATACTTTGTCACTACTGGTCTCAGTGAGAATCCCTGTGAAACAATGCTTAATTGAAATGAATATTTAATGATTTTAGCTTTTATCGTCTTATATTTCTATAAAGGAATCCGAAATATTTACAAAATATCATGCTTTTTTATACATAAATTTGCTTGGTGGATTAGCGGTAAGTATCAGGGCTTATTAGACTAAGATTTGGAGTTCCATCCTCACCGCAGGCAAAGTGCAGTAGTCCATTGAGTAGCTACACGTTAAAAGAAACAAACAAAAAGATAGTTTTATTCACACGCTGCTATTTGTACAACCTTTCCAATGGAAGGTAAAGTAGTTTTCATAGATGTATAACCCCCACCCAGTAGCACAACAGTGCGTCTCAAGACTTGTAACCGTGCATCAATATCCGTGGTGGGCACAGCACAAATAGCCCATTTGTAGCTCTGCACTTAACAACAAACAAACAAGTAAACAACTTCATAGATGTATAATATATCAAATGCCTAGACCTTAAGCAAAACTATTACTACATTTCCTTTCCTAGAAATATGAACCTTCCTATAGTTCCAGTTTACTGCCGTTACTCTCCAAAACTATTACTACATTTCCTAGAAGTATGAACCTTCCTATAGTTCCAGTTTACTACCGTTACTCCCCAAAACTATTACTACATTTCCTTTCCTAGAATATGAACCTTCCTATAGTTCCAGTTTACTGCCGTTACTCTCCAAAACTATTACTACATTTCCTTTCCTAGAAGTATGAACCTTCCTATAGTTCCAGTTTACTACCGTTACTCCCAAACTATTACTACATTTCCTTTCCTAGAAGTATGAACCTTCCTATAGTTCCAGTTTACTGCCGTTACTCCCC